AAGAAGAGAGAGAGAGAGAGAGAGAGAGAGAGGGAGGGGCAAAGGACCAAGTTATTCCACGTTAGTTTCCATATAAGAATCCATATTACATTTAGTTTGACGTTTTCAAAGATTCTTAATCAGACTTCCACTTTTGCAGATGAAAATCAGGTAGTTAGGCATTGTCTAGTCACAAATTTATCTGGGCTTAATTGGGCTGGTTTAGTTATAACAGTGCAACTTTAGTGTGTGGATTCTCTTCTCTCAGTTTAAAATTCGGTTTCTTGGTTCAGGTTGAGTCTGTAAACTTACCAACACTGGTAAGACAGTGCCTACACACAGAGATGCACCAATTTAACTAAATCAGGACAAAATTATATGTTTAAACTTGTGCATAGACCAGACTCCTTGACTGGAGCTAAACCAAAATAAGCCACACTTCAATTAAAGTAAGTGTCTACCCAGAGCCTTGCATCAGTTGAACTAAATCTGTTAAAAAACATATCTTTAGTTAAAACCATGCAACTTTCCAGGTAGACAAGACCACAAATATTTAGATGCTGTAATTTGTGTCTAAAAATCGAATTCTACAGTTCTTGAATTTACCGCATTGATTTACAAGTGCAACTTTCAGAATACTTAGTCAGATGTGTGTATGAAAGTGTTTCAAATAATCTCTCTCACCCATCACAAGCTCCACATCAGTTGCTTGGGCCAATCACTTTTCTGCAGGATAGTAATTAAAGATTCATACTGTGAGATCATGGTGATGTTCCTGTGTCGTTTGCTTTTTGTAACTTGTGAAATTTATAAATATTCAAAAATACATATATTTATATACAAGAGAAGGCCAAGGGGCGGGATGGACCGATAACAGTCTTCAAACCTCTAAAAGGTTACTATAAAGACGACAGTGGTCAATTGTTCTCCATGTCCAGTAACTGGCTTTATTTGAAGCAGGGAAGATCTAGGTTACATATTAGGAAAAACTTTCTATCAGGATAGTTAAGTACTGGAATAAGGCTCCAAAGGAGGCTGTGGAATCCCTGTCATCGGAGGTTTTTAAGAACAGGTTAGACAAACACCTGCAGGGGTGGTCTAGATATACTTGGTCCTGCCTCACCACAGGGGGCTGGACTAGATGACCTCTTGAGGCTCCTACCACGTTTCTCTGATTCTATATAGTCTGTCTGTGGGACATATGTTGATATGAAGTAAGAGTCAAACTGAGGGCTAGATATTTCCCTAATTAAAAAAAATAAATCAACCAACATCACTTGTAAAAACTTGATGCTGAAATATAGGGCCTGATCCCATTCCCAGTGAAATCAATGGGAGGGATTTCAAATTGGGCCGCAGCAGGCCCCCAGGGCAAAGTCCTGAAATCCTGACACAAACTATGCTCAGTCTTTACAAAGGCAAGATTCCCATTGGCTTCCATGTATCACTTCTGAATGTGCTTTTTGTTGCTGTTGAAATAGCTCTGATCAACGCCTGGCTACGGAACAGACGATGCAAGGTACAGTGTTCAGTTTGTTAGTGACAACATTAACCTATGTCTCAGACTATTGCAATTGTCCGTGGAGGAAAATTGTTCACACTCTCCAGTGGCTGTGTACAGTTCCTTTGCATTTCACTGATAGAAACCACCAAGAAATAAAGATTTTTATTAGAAAATTAGCAGCCAACAAATTCAGGACAAGGCTCTTGGAAACAGAGGGGAAATATAAAAACATCAGGCCTGATCCTGCTGCTGTTACTCATATGAGTAACGACAATAACTGACACTATATTTTCTAACAATTTCCCCCAAACACTCCCTAGTGTTAAATACAGTAAGTATTCTTGCGCTCATTTTACATGTGAGATCTGAAGCAGGTAGGTGTTGTGACTTGACTCAAGACACAGAAAATCACTACCAGAGTTGGGCCTGGAAATCAGGAATTCCTGGCTCCCAATCTGTGCTGATTTCCCTAAAACACCCAGCCCTTCCTTGGGACAACTAACATAAGTAAGGGCCAAGTGACTGATCCTTTTATGTTCCACTATGCAGGAGCAAATTGCACCTGAGGCTTTTTACAATGGGCCAGATCCTCTCCTGGCCAGTATTTTATTAGAGACAGCAAGGACACTGGCAGATGCCTGGTTATTGCTAGGCGGAGAAGAATTCCATGGGGTGAAAATGGGGGGTGGTTCTCACTGAAAAATACTTTGCTGCTGCTCTATAAAGAATCATCCTTCTCCTGCAACTTGTGCATGAGGCACTAGAGAAGCAAAGAGTTATTATTCTTGTTATTGGAAAACATACAGATCGGATAACCTGTAAGCTTAAAGGACGCAATACTAACTGACCCCGCAGGCCTAGAGATCCCATTCTTCTCTCTTCCTGGACATAGGAGGCTTTCTGCTGTGGCGTGAGAGGCAGTGGGATGCCACCATTATTATACATGGTACAATACTGAATAACTTCTTCAAAGGCTCCCTTCATAAAATAAATATCTTCCTGCCCCTTTAAAATAAGAAGACAAGTTACATCATTAAAAAATATTGACAATGTTAAACCCTTTACATCTGAGATATGCAGGTTCCCTTGTTAGTGCCGTTATCTAACCCATAAAACACATGGACACATGCCTCTTACAGAATGTAGCATTTCTGTGGTGCACACTTTATAGACGGAATCCGAGTGACCCTGGTAGTGAAAAAGTTGGGTTTTTTAAAGATAGAGAATAAAATTAAACTTGGACAATTAAAGCAGGCAGGGCAACAAAGGATGCAGTTTCTCAGAAATGTTGTCCATTTTTCCCTATTGAAATTTTGATGCAAAAAATCATTGACATTTTTATATTATTTGATTTGATTTTTTACTAGTTTTACAGCTGTTTGCAAAACAGGATGAATTTTTCTCAAAAATTTACATTGAAATCTCATCCTGGTTTTTTTCAGTGCTATCCACAATGTCAAAACAAAAGGTCATTGAAATGGTGGCTTTTGAAAATTATGATGTAATTTATGAAAGCACCGTCTACCTGTGTCTGAAATCGTTTGTATGGCTACTGCCTAATAAACTTCACTTCATTTCCACTGGCATTTACATACAAGATAAGAAACACGAAGCCAGTCTATATAACTGTTGTTGTACCTGATTTTTCAGCATGCATTTTACTGCCATCCACTTTTGCTCCGAGCTAAATGGAATTTCCTTCTTTCTTATATAAATATCTTTTATATCACTTAATTCCATCTAAAATAAGGAAATTAAAAATATTATTGTAATACTAAACAATGCTAGTTTTTGCACATATTCTGTATAGCACTTTTACGTACCGTGAGTTACCAACATTAAACAATGATCACATGTCTTTATGCAGTAGTGTTTTACAGATGAGGACAGAGAAGCAAAGCGAGAAATTAAGGCCCACAGTTTCAGAAGCTTTTGCTTATCTGGGCTGCCTAATTTGATATACCTTAAGCCTGTATGGAGGTTTGTCTAAAAGATCTGCTCTAGGAATTATTTTGGGGAAGTTCTATGGTTATGCAGAAGGTCAGACCAGAAGATACCAATGGTTCCTCCTGGCTTTAGAATTTATGAAAAGCCCAATTTTCAGAAGTGCTAAGTAGCCATGATGCTCATTGACTTCATCTGCAGTTGCGGATGTTAAATTCTGAAATTCAGGGCCTTGGTGTCTTAATCCGGGCATGCAGAAATTAATCAACATTTAGGCCTATGTAGCTTTCCCAAGTCTGTGTCAAAGCTCAGAATAGAAACCAAAATTCCTGACTCCCGGTCTTGTGCTTTAATTACAGGACCATAGTTCTGTTGATTCATACACATTCCACCCTTCAGAAAAGAGGGAGATTGCAAATAATGGGCTATGGTTTCATTTTTGAAACTTGAACTCCAAAAAGCCCCCTCAGGGTCTTCCTCTAGTGAGCTGACAACTTGAAAAACAATTCAATTTAAAAATACATTCTGTCCAAATCGTGACATATTGATTCATATTTAACATGCCGAATATCACGTAGTCAGATAAGCCATGCCCTGCACTTAAGTTGCTACATTCCGAAGGTTCCATTTTGGGGTGTGTTTCCTGCCACTCTGGTTTTGACCGCTTTGTAAAAAAAAAAAATAATCATCACTCAACTCTGGTACTTTTCCAAATCACAATGGTAGCATTCCTACAGGTAAAAGTGACTACATAAGGTGCAATGCAGTGCTAAATCAGGCCCATTATTTGTGGTGGACAATATTTTGCACTCTAGACAAGAAGGTCAATAGAACATTCAATAGAGTTCTTTGTTTTTCCACAACTGTAGGAAAAAAGGTAAGAAAGTAACAGATGACAAAAATACAAGAAAACGATATGCCATGACTTCTAATTTGGCTTGTGCCTGTTCATTAGTCTGCTGTTTTCTCACTGGTGTCTGCAGAACAATGGAAAGGAGTCTGATTCCAGCCCAAAAGAAATCCATTGTGCAGTGTAATTACACAAGCCAGCCAAGTAAAACCCTTATTTCTATAGCATGGAAATGCTCTGTGAAGGTGTTTTGCCTGTGGCAGCAGGTGTACAGGCGTGTGTGTGTAAGCTGGGGTATAGGGGACAAAGATTCTTGCAAGAAGGACCAAAAAGAAGCAAGAAGAATCTGAAGTCAGTCTGTTCAATTACTGGCTACAATTAATAATGTCCAATGAATTCAATTTATTTTGCAAGTTTCTGGGTTACTAAAGGATCATATTCTCTCTCTTTCTCCCCCGTGCTTAGCTATTATTTTACTGCCTACACAGAACCTGACCCTAGTTTGAAGAAATCTGCAACAGACAAACAAATATAAGAAACCCTACCTTCATTGCCAGCACAATAAGGGCTCCCTCCGTTGGCTGACCCATCACAGTATTTTTTCTGATAATAGCATTATTAGCGACACAGCCAGCCTAAAAGTGATATATTTGCATACATTATGTTTATATAAAATATTATACATTACATATCTCCCTCTAATGAATTGGTAAGATATCGCAGAGCTATAATGGCTGCATTGTGACAACTTTCAATTCATGTCAAGTAGAGCGAAACTAAGGAGGTGGGGTCCAGATCCAGGGTAGATTAAAACCCAAGGTCAGCATTTGGCATCAAGGCTGAATTTGAGAGCTAAGGATCAAGTTCAGGGGCACAACCATCGCATAATATTTTGGATCAAAATACCAGCAATTTCACAAGATGGCTCTTGCACTTTTCCACCCTTTTGAGGCCCTTCCAAATCGGTAGAACTGGTAAAAATATTTAATATTTCAAATTTTGAAAAATGAACAAGAAAATGTTGGACTATATTTTCATGATTTCCCCTCTTTGAATCAGCTCTACAAATCAGACCTGGAAAGATTAGTCCCTTCTAATTGTGGCTTTAACATGCAATATAAATCTGAGGGGTGGGTTTGGATCTAACCCTTCCCAAAACTGAAAGGCGATGAAATCTGAGGTTCCAGTTCAGGCCATTTGCACATGCAAGTATCTGATTTCCGCATACAATGGTGTGTGCAAAATTAGTAGTAAAATTGCACATGCGTGTCTATAAAAATCAGATCCCCGGGACCCTTTGAAATCAATGCAGATTTTGCCTAACCAGCTGGCTGTATTTTGGAATTGTAGCTACTCTAAACAAACAAAAACGTATAATGTTAATTGCTCCTTGCTCTATGCATCACCCCTGCACAAACTCTCATCCAAAACTGCACAGCATTTCTGCAAGCCAATGTCTCTGGCCTCTCCCTAGATATTTCTGATGATTGTCACCTGCTATAAATCACGGTCATGTCTGATATAGTAACTGCACAAAACCCTTCTTTAGGTCCTCTTGCTATAGCAAGGACATGTTCAATTAGAGTCAATAAAAAGTGCAGTTTCAGTAACATTCATCGTACAAGGAGAGCATCATAAATTATAATCGAGTGAAAATGGAGTAGTTTGATTCATATTTTATACTTACCTCCACTAGCTTTCCTACTGAGACATTGGAAAATTCTTTAATCACTTCCTTTGATGGTAACAGACATACACTTCCTTTCCCACTGTATCCAACCCCGCTCACCTAGGGGGAAATAAATTTGGAAGGTACATACATAAAATTTCCCAGCGTCTAGCTGAAATATAGGACTATCAATATTTTCTCCTTATACAGCACAACATCTCTGGGGACACTTCGGATCTATTTTCAAGGCATGCTGGGATTAATGTGTTTTGCTGGGAGCAATATTTATAGCTAAGGTTGCAAATACTGTAATAATCAAAGTGCAGTACTATCTAGGGACAAGAAAACTCACTTTGCCGTATTTCAGTCCTATTTGTTCATCATGGGTACAGTTCAATCAATGGGCCAAATTCTTAGTTAGGTGCAGCTACATTAGATTTGCTAGCTCAAATACAATATACTAACCTATGCTCCTGTTTTATGATTATTGATTGTTGAAGGTGTGACTCTCCACTGTCTTATATGGTAGTAGTTTACACTCACTATGCATTGGTGTGATGACAACATGTAAGGCCATGGCTAATCAGGCCCCATGGCTATAAAATAAATAAATAAAGGGAGGATCAAGTCAACCTGCTAGAAATTGGTTGAAAATGTTGAAAATGTTTCTGCTCGAAATGCCAACAGCAGCATTAGCACTGGTGGCAGGACCGACTAAATATTCTAACATTTGTGTTTATGCTCATGATATTGCTGGGAGCTTTGCGTGCAAAGCATATGTGATTTCAAACACGCTCTTTCAAGTACAGCATGCTCACTTTGCACGAGCAGCTTCTGTGACGATGGGGCCTCATTCAGCATTCCTTCAACACCCCACTCTCCCATTCATGTCAGTGGGAACTTCAAATGCACAAGGAATAAGCCCGTAGTCTAATATAAAAACAACTTATATAGGCATTGACCATGCAAAGAACTGAGACGGATGGATGTCCAGGACTGGAATTTGCGCAATCTTTTGTGGGCTTGAATGATGAAGTTTATATAATTTCATGGACCATACCTCTGCCTGGAATCCATCTGAGGTTACTAGCTGAGTTACTGTCATCTCATTGGCTGTCAAAGTCCCTGTCTTATCTGAACAGATGACATTGCAGCAACCTGATGGGAGGAACATTTGTTTTTAATCAGAGCTAATACAATGTGCAAATGAGCAACTAGATTAGATGCCATAGAAATGTTATAACGTGTTACTTGTACGTTACAAACATGAGCCGTTACCGGCAAAGATCGATGTGAGAGAAAGAACAAAATACAAAAAGCTGGGTGAGTTTTCTAACCCCTCATTAAGGACTAAGAGAAAACCAGTGCAAACATGTTTGTGCCTCTCCCGTGGCTTGATAAGGCATTGCACTACCATGTATCTGATTTGGGTTTGGGATCTGGTAGGAGACAGCTGTTGGAAGGAAGGTTCCATCACTCTTGAACATCACATGTTGCATGGTTCAGAGAAGGTGTTAAATTTCTGAGGAAGCGATCAGTTTCTCAGAGCTGCAAGGTCAAGACTGACAAGCTGGGAGGAAATATGGGGAAAAAAGATAAAAACCTAGCAGCCTGAGACCAATGATGAGACAGTGGGTGCCCAGGCACCCAAAGACTCACTCAGCAGTTCATCATTCTCTTGGACAATGGTGCAAGGGGGCTCCCAATGACACCTATTTTTGTTTTGGGTCAAGATGGGTTCAAGTCCCTATTCCACCACAAACTTTTTATGGGACCTTGGGCAAGTCATTTAGCCTCACAGGGTATGTCTACACTGCAATAAAACACCCACAGCTGGCCTGACTCAGCTAACTCAGGCTTGCAGGGCCTGGGCTGTGGGCTATAAAATTGCAGTTTAAATGTCTGAGCTCGGAGAGCTACACAACAATTTTATAGCCCCACCACCCAATCCCCTTAAGTCCTTGTCAGCAGACGTGGGCCATCTACGGGTGTTTTGGTGCAGTCTAGACATACCCTGAGACACAGAGGGTATGTCTACACTACCCGCCGGATCGGTAGGTGGTGATCGAGCTATTGGGGATCGATTTATTGCGTCTAGTGTAGACGCGATAAATCGATCCCCGATCGCTCTGCCGTCGACTCCTGTACTCCACCACGGTGAGAGATGGAAGCAGAGTCAACGGGGGAGCAGCGGCAGTCGACCCCGCGCCATGAGAACGCGAGGTAAGTCGACCTAAGATACGTCAACTTCAGCTACGCTATTCTCATAGCTGAAGTTGCATATCTTAGGTTGATCCCCCCCAGTGTAGACCAGGCCTCAGTTCCCTATTTGTACAATGGGGATAAAAGCTGTTCCCTACCTCACAGGGGTGTTGGGAAGATAAATACATTGAAGATTGTGAGGTGATTAGTTATGACAATAATGGGGGCCATAAGAGTCCCTAAGGCAGATAGGATGCTGAGAGAGGCAATTCCACATTCAAACTCTGCTTTGAAATAATAAAACATTCAATACAAATACAATACAATTCAACACAAATTCTGGACCTGATTCTCATTTACACTAATGCCTCTTTGCACTGCACTGACAATTTAAGCAGAGTTAGAGTAGGAGTGAATTAGACTGATGCCCATTTTAGGGCCAGTTTACACTGCTACCACAGTACAAAGAGGCTTTAATGTAAAGGAAAATCAGGTCCTCTAATTTTAGTCACTTAAATGGACGGAATCATTTCCACCGGAGGTGGCAAAATGGGTTGAGCTCAGATACGGTGATGATGACGAGGGCCGTATAAGAACCCAGACAGAAGAAAACAGATTGGCCTGTGATTAAGTTAATTGCAATTTTGAAGGATTAGTGCAGAGCAAATCATTATCTTTAATTAGTCTGAATTTAATTATTTACAGAATTAAATAAAAAGTTGAATGAAGGACAAATGCTCTTTACAAATGTTTTGTAGACTTGTGTCATTAACAAGTAGGAGAACGTTGCTCCTTGTAATGCTTGGACATTATCACAAAGGTCCTAGTTATTGTCTGAAAAGGCCCATTTAGGGCTTGCACTTTTAGAATCCAATCAATTCTTTATGAGGTTGGGGCAGGCAGCTCCACATGTCCTGGCGTTAGAGTCAGTGCAGATAAGATGGAGAAAAGGGTGAGAGGACTCTGTTGTTGCTTAGCAAACAAGGTCCCTGATCCTGGAGACCTAACAAGGGCAAAAAGGAACACAATTTGGGGGAGGGATAGCTCAGTGGTTTGAGCATTGGCCTCCTAAACCCAGGGTTGTGAGTTCAATCCTTGATGGGGCCACTTGGGATCTGGGGCAAAATCAGTACTTGCTCCTGCTAGTGAAGGCAGGGGGCTGGACTCAATGACCTTTCAAGCTCTCTTCCAGCTCTAGGAGATAGGATATCTCCATTAAATTATTATAATTGCTTTCAATATCAGGGAGATAAACCCCAGGGAGAGAGAAGAACCATTTAAGCTAGGGACAACGTTGGCAGAAGAACAAATGGGGCTAAACTGGCCATGAATAAATTTAGGCTGGAAATTAGAAGATTTTTTACCATCAGAGGAGTGAGGTACTAGAACAGCCTTTCAATGCAAGTAGAGGAGGCAAACCACCTAACTTGTTTTAAGATGGAACTTGATACATTTATAAATGGGATTATGAGACAGGGTTGCCTGTGATAGCCAGGGACTGGACTCAGAGAGCCAGGAGGTCCCTTCCAGTCCTATGTTCCGTGTTCCTCAGTCAATGGGAGTTATATCTGTGTCATAAATGCCGGGTAAGGCTCCCCAGTAGCCAGGTGAAGCTGCATGATGCTGTCTTGTGCTTCTAGACCCTTGTAGTTAAATGCATTCCATCATCAGCATTTAGAGTGGTGCTCAATAAAGGAAATCTCTGTTTCCCCCTATGCAATGTTCCATACTAACCAACAGGGCCAGGGACCCTACTAGGAGACAGTGATTTTGGGGGTGCCAATGTGAAGAGGAGGCAGAGGAGTATCAGTGAGGTGGGCAGGTAGACAGGGAAGAACAGCAGGTGAGTTGGCCTATACCATTGTGCCGGTTGCTCTAGTGCAGGGGCAGCAGCTTCCTTCCAGCCAGGTACAGGACAGGAGAAGCATATGGACCAACAGAGTGGGACGGAAGTGAAGAGGCAGGCCTGGGTCCATGAGCAAGATAGGTAGGTCTTAGGAGGAAAGAACAGCTGGTCAGGGACAGCCAATTCCATGGAAAGAAAGGGTTACCACAGCACATTAGCCTTTTGATCTTGGCAGTGTTCCTGGTATACCACGTTAGTGGCCCTTGGGACTAAAGGAAGAGGATGAAGAACATGGTGGGGGGTGAAGAGGAAGAGAGACAATTTTAAAGAATTTGGGTTATGGGGTTGCTCCAGCCCTTGGTTCAAATCACACCAACAGTCCCCTGGGTTATCTAAGCAAGCTAGTAGCCAATTTAGTTGCAGATTTGTATAGACTGGACAGATGCATACATGGCTTTGTTTTGGTTTGACCATCATCAGCCTTACCTAGAGTTTCTACTATGGGCAGCTTCTTCACAATCACTCTTTTCTTGGCCATCCTTAGAACGCCCAGCACCAGTGTCACCGTGACCACAATGGGCAGCCCCTCTGGGATGGCAGCCACAGCCAGGCTGGGTTGCAATATAATAAAAGAATAGGTTTCCAGTTACAATGTGTCACACCACAAGGCGCTGCACCCAAGCATACACTCGAACATGGCAAATAAGCATTTCCAAAAGGCATGAATGTCCTCTCGAATATGATGGTCTGGAATGGAAATCTTGTGACAGTTGAATATTAACAGCTCGAATTCCCAATACATAATGTACAATAATCCTCTACATGTCCTTCTCCATTTAAATGAGTCCGAAGAGCGAGCACAATTTTGAACATTGCCAGGGATAGTTCATTTCCTTACATCTGGGAATTTGGGATTTTTAATCTCTGAAGATAAAGTTTCAACCTTGCTTGGCAGCATGTTCAATCATACCCACTGACCTCCTCTCCTTGATGCATCAAAGCTATTCTCGGAGAGTTAATTCTATTCTGAGCAGCCTGGACTCCCAAATGATCTCTTGGTGCCGTAGGCTATGTCTACACTACAGCCGGGATCGACGCGCTGAGATCGATCCACCGGCAGTTGATTTAGCTGGTCTAGTGAAGACCCACCAAATTGACATCAGATCGCTCTACAGTCGACCCCTGTACTCTATCCATGATGAGAAGAATAAGGTAAGTCAACGGGAGAATTTCTCCCATCAACCCCCCCCATGGTGTAGACCACGCGGTAACTCAACCTAAGGTACGTTGACTCCAGCTACGTTATTCACGTAGCTGGAGTTGTGTAGCGTAGGTTGACTTACCGCAGCAGTGTAGACATAGCCCTAGTAAACCAGACTGGCATCTGGCACTGTGCACAGTTATGCCAGAGAAAATATAAACTGACAATCATTTTATAACCCTCTGTTGTTCTGTAGGCAGGTACGAATGGGTCATAAAGGATATCTGCTGTTATAAGGCAATAAATGTTTATATTAAACATAAAAACTAACTCAGGATTAAAACATAGGTTAAGGCAAACATTTGCAAAAGTGACTACTGATTTTAATTGCCTGAATTTCCGGGTGTCAAATTGCAGACAACTCGGGCAGGCTCAGTTTTCTGGGGTGATTAGTACTGAGGCTGGCCAGAAAGCAACCATTCCATTTTGCGGAAAATGCTGGAACTTTGAAATTTGTTTTCATTTAGATAAGGAGTGAAACTGAGACCTTTGGAAATTTTTTCACAAAAAAATGAGAGCAAAAGACCCCAGAATAGCCAATAAACCGGTGGTCAGACCCACTGGCTTGGGATGTAGTAGACCCAGATTCAGCCCCAAGTGGAGCCAGTTGGAGCTTTGTGTTTCAGCACCTTTGAAATTCTTAGGCAAGAAATGCTGACAAACTCTTTTCTCCTTTGTCATCAATGTCCCCCTAGCCATTGTGAGTATGAAACTGAACTACTTTAGTTTCTTCCATGCTGTCCTCCATCCATATTTTTATTTCCACACAGTGCTAGATAATGAATAATCTTAGAGCTATGGCAACACTAAAGGATACATTTTCCAAATATTACTCAAACAGATGGTTTATAGTATTTGATTAAGGGGTTGTGCATGTATTTCCATGTGTCAGGTATAAATGTAATATTCCTGGCTTTATAAACACGTCAGAGATTGGCGAACATTTGCAGATGTAATATTCCTCTTAATTTAGCATAGACACTAGAACAATGGCCATACTGGGTCAGAGCTATGGTCTATCTAGGCCAGTATCCTGTCTCAGACAGTGGCCAGTGCCAGATGCTTCAGAGAGAATGAACAGAACAAGGCAATTTTGAGTGGTCCATCCCCTGTCATCCAGTCCCATCTTCTGGCAGTTGGAGGTTTAGGGACAACCAGAACACGGGATTGTATCCCTGATCATCTTGGCTGAATAGCCATCGATGGGCGTATCCTCCATGAACTTATCTAATTCTTTGTTGAACCCAGTTATACTTTTGGTCTTCACAACATCCCCCAGCAATGAGTTCCACAGGTTGACTGTACATTGTGTGAAGAAGTGCTTGCTTGTGTTTGTTTTAAAATTGCTGCCTACTAAGACGTTGCAGGACTTTTATGGCAAGGATCAAGGTAGGGAAGGCTATGCTTATGAGGATGTCTTCCAAGGCACTGCTCAGTGGAAATATGTTCATGGCAGAATTTGGACATTAGTGAAATTATGCACCAGTCTGTTTCCCCCCTCAAATAAAATAAAATAAAAATAAAATAAAACCTCAAGCTTTCTTTTGTTCCTTCATTTGTCATGAAATGAATAGTAAGGACAGATTCTACATTCACAGAAATCAATGGTAAAACTCCCATTAGCGTCTGTGGTGCAGAACCAAGCCACATATTAAGAGACTAACACAAGTACTGAGGTTTTTTTCCCCCACAGAAAGAAGTGCCCTCCATTGTCTCAAGCAACCTCTTAAATGCAACCACTCAGCGGGACATGTTTCACTGTAATAATAAAAAGAGTTCTTTCCAATTCTCACCTCACTCCAATAGTGAACATACTGAGAAGATGCTTTCCTTGCAACCAGCCAATCAGCATTATTAAACCTAGGAGAGGGGAGGAGAAGCCAGTTGAAAAAAATGGAAGTTAAGGATCTGTGAGGGATTTCAAGAGATTTCTCATCTCAAGGCCAGACACTCAAAAATGGAGGCACTCTACATGAAAGGGCCCTTTCGAAAAAGTTGCTTCAGGGACACAGGAATACATTCGTAATGGAATGCATCATAGTTTATACAGAGCATTCGGGCAAACTCACCAATGATGCAAAAGGAGAAAAGGGTAAGTTGTTTCCCCAGTTTATCCATGCTTTTCTGTAGAGGCGTTTTAGGGGTCTGGAAATGTGAAGAGAAAAATTGGTTTCTGTTATGTAAAATGAGGTGAGTGAGTAGAATCAGTGACAAGAAATACAGCCATAATTATTATCACTGGAGCAACCCCAAACTGAGATCGGGGGCTTATTGTGCAGGAACTGTACACCATATACACAGTGAGAGAAAAATGCCCATTAAAGAGTTTATAATCTCAATAGACAAGACAGAAGCATTAGTCAGTTCACAGATGGGGACCTGAGGCATAGAAAGAATAAATGACATGCCCAAGGTCACCAAAGTTTGTGGACTTGAACCCAGCTCTCTTAAATCCTACTGCAATGCCTGTAGCTCATGACCACCCTCCCTACAAACAGCCCTTTGACCTCCAGTATTTGAGTAACAATATGGAGACTCGGGTCCCACGACAGTACCACACAATTCTGTACCAACAAAACAAACAGAATTCTTGTCCCTTACCTCTTCCGCTTGCATCAATTTAAACACCTCTCCAAACTGTGAGTTTTCGCCAGTTCCAATAACTATCCCCTGGATTAGGAAAATAGCAATGAGAATCATGCAAAATACTGACCTTACTTAAAAGCTTCTCTAGCTATTGTCTAGAGGTGGATGATATGGAGAGTAGATAGGACTCACTTTTCCCTTCCCATATCGCACCAGTGTTCCCATGAAAACAACATTACTCAGCGTTGTTAGGTCTCCAGCTTCCAGTAAGGGATCATCTGTCTTACTGCAAGGCTCAGCTTCTCCAGTAAAACTGGATTCGTCCACCAACAGGTCTGTAACCTAATTAAAAATGTAACTCTGTGGAGCCTTTATCACAATATAGACGAGCAAACCGATGTTATCATTTATGTGTGAACTGGTGTTTACCTCTATCAGTCTGATATCTGCAGGAACCCTGTCTCCAATAGAAAGACACACAACGTCTCCTGGGACCAGGTCTCGGGCGAGAAGATGCTGCAGTTTTCCTTCCCTTATGCTGCATTGCATTGAGAAAATGATACTATTTAAATAGGCCAAACAGCATGCTAGGCAAATATAAGGAGCAGGTCCTTGCCCCAGAGATATTCTGATCTAAATAAGAGTTTATCATCTAACTAAGAATGAGGAAAGGAGATTATATTCCTACCCCAAATTTAGTTTTAATGCACAAACACATGGGTGGATTATAGAAGCTTTAGATTTCAGTAATAACGTACATTTAACCTGAATATCCTGAATTGGAGTGCTTTCCCCCCTGTTTGAACTTTAAAGACTGCTTACAGGCTGATGCAAGGAACTATCATACTTGGCAAGCTGTTTAAAGGTAGAATTACTGAATTGGTGTTTTTCCATGTTGTTGTACTAAATGTTCACCTTTGAAAAGATTAGGTGCCCACTCTCTGAAATTCATTGGAGGAAATAGGCAAAGGTAACCAGAGTATTTGTAAGGTACAAAGTTCTAGGACCATTGAAGTAGAAAAGGCCACGCCTCGTTTTTGACACAATAATTATAACCTCAATATGATCCATTTATTTGTATTGGTCATGACAGAGCTGATTTTCAAAGTATGAAAGACACAAGTATGATGTTGCACTCCATATGCTTTATGAATGTGAATATGATGTAACTGGAATATGCTTTATGCCAGCGGTCGGCAACGTTCGGCACGCGGCTCGCCAGGGTAAGCACCCTAGCGGGCTGGGCCAGTTTATTTACCTGCTGACGCCTCAGGTTCGGTCGATCACGGCCCCCCACTGGCCGCGG